AATAAAATGTATCAGTGATTGTGGGTTTTGCAAAACTTCTCATAAGAATATTTTATTAGTGTTAATGTTAACCTCACCATGAATACTTAAATACACTGAACCACATGTTCAACTTTAATGGCTGTACACCTAAGATTTAAAGAGGAAAAAATTGTGAGAATGAGTTTAGTATTCAGCTGTGACTGATTAAACACGCAAATACTTCATTGCTCCTGAGAAACAGTTTACACTGAGTGGAGCAGTCGACTGTTCCAATATGGCCCTACAGCTCGTCAGTGCCAATAGGCGATAGCGGTCAATGCTGTATCTAGAGTTTATATCTATGATCATCACCCCTGAACGTAAAAGATGCCTAAGACTGGGCGGTGTGAGGCAGCAATGATGTCACTCTCCTGCGCCGCTTGGAACTGCCAATTCAGATTGATTTTTGGAACAATTTTTTCAGGGGTGGAGCATGAAAACGAAAAAGCAGTTGTGTTCTCAGTTTCCTCTAGTTGTGTTACACAATGAGCAGTCTTGAAGAAGAAAATGAAAATTATTTATTTTTAATTTTATTTATGAGTCAAAAAATGCAGCTTGACTTTAAAATGAAATAGCAGAAATGCTTTTTCATTTCAATTTTCAAATTTGACATTTCAAAATGAATTTTGGTAACTTTTTACTGGGACATATTTTGAAAATTAAATAAACGTTTTATTTATCATTTTAATTCATTTACACAATGAGCAGTCTTGAAGAAGAAAATGATTTATTTTTTATTTTATTTATAAGTCAAAAAATGCAGCTCAACTTTGAAATGAAAAAGCATTTATGCCATTCCATTTTAATTTTCAAATTTGACATTTCAAAATGAATTTTGGTCACTTTTTACTGGGACATATTTTGAAAATTAAATGTTAACCGTTATTTTATTTATCAATTTAATTCATTTACACAATGAGCAGTCTTGAAGAAGAAAATGAAAATGCAGTTTGGATTATTCATTTTTAATTTTATTTATGAGTCAAAAAATGCAGCTTGACTTTGAAATGAAAAAGCAATTCTATTAATCCATTTTAATTTGATTTATGAGACATAATGGCTTCCATAGTTTTTATGAACACATGTTTTTCACTGGAAAGTTTCACTAGTTCTATGAATACATTTCTATCAAATTAAAAGTTTTTAAATGAAAAAGCTGTTTATTTTTTGTTTAATGTTAGGAAAACATATTTATGAAATGTACATAAAATGTGTATGTTTACACTCAAATAATGTTCTCCGTCTGCTTGTGATAACTACATAACATTAGCAAAATCAGAGAAAACACTTAAAAATGTTGTATCTTTAAAAAAGTATATCTCGAAAAAAACGATCTGAACTCAAACAAACAGAGAAATATGGTCTGTCTGCACAGAATCAGATCATTAAAAATAGCAGATCATTAATGCATGGGTCATGTAAACAATAATTTTAAAATAAAATTACTACAACTAATCCTAAACCATGTATTTTCAGAGTTACAGCTGTATTAAAAATGCAACACAGCTTTATTTCACTACTTTTTTTCTATAAAATCCCAAGGGGCAGACTGATGAGTCGGGTTGCCATGGTGATACGTCTTGCTCCCACAAGAGCAAAAGGCCCCTGTTCTCAGAAGCAGTTGCAGGAGGGAGTCATCTCAGCCTCGTCTACTTCCTCTCCGTACAGAGTGATGAGTCTAGAATGAACTCTGAAGACACACACACAGACAAAATTACATGTGAAACTGAAAACATTTTTTTTTCTTTAATGAAGAAGTACTTTCTACTTTTCGTTCGTGAGCGTGCTGTTCTTCTTGCTGTTCAAACATTTCTCACATTTCATGTGGCTGAATGAGTTTCTTCACTTTATCTTTAAAGCATCTAAGATAACCAAAAAATCTGGAGTGAAAGTACAGATTTTTATGTATAAAATATTTTTTTCCAAAATATGAAAAGATGTCCTGTGTACAATACAGTGTCATCTGCATTTAAATACATTATATATATGTCAGAGTTAAGTGGTGGGATAATGCTCTTAATCCAAGATTAAAAGAAGAAACATGTGCACTTCAATGGTTGGAGACAAACAAACATATCTGTAAATAAAAGGGCAGAAAGAGATCTGAAATCACATACTTTAAAACTCTCATACCAAACACAATTTTAAACATTAATTGGACCGGTACAAGTACAAAAGAAATAGTTATTAATGAAATGAAAAATGAAAACGTAAATTGAGATTTTGTAGAATATAAACATGCAAACCCTGTAGATTATCAAACTATTGTAAACTATGTTAATAATAAAAGTCCTGATGAATGCTTAATAATCCACATAGATTAATCTAACAAGGTTGAGTCAGGAACTCTGGGCGGATTCTTTGTTGAAACGTTTCATCAGAGTCATCAGGACTCTGTACCACAAAGCAGACAGCATCCCCACTAACTCAGGAGCCAGGCAGAAGTAGAAATCTCACACAAGACAGGCTCTAGAGCAATGTGGATATCCTAACTGGGCCTTCCTGAAAGCAGAGAAGAAACCCAAAATTCAGCCATCAGGTGTAAAGGAAGAACCCAGACCAGTGGTCATTCCGTATGTTGCGGGAGTATCAGAGAAACTGAGACGTTTATATTCTAAACACAACATCCCAGTGGCTTTTAAACCCCAAAATACATTACGGCAAAGACTGGTTCATCCCAAAGATCCAGTCCCCCATCACATAGTAATATTGTGTATGCTGTTCAGTGTCAGGAGGGCTGTGATCAGTCTTACATCTGAGAAACTAAACAGCCACTAGCCAAAAGGATGGCCCAGCACAGAAGAGCAACAACATCAGGCCAGGACTCTGTGGTCTACACTCATCTCCAGGCCAGCAGTCACTCGTTCAGGGATGAAGATGTTCACATCCTTGATAGAGAGGAACGATGGTTTGAGAGAGGGGTAAAGGAGGCAATCTTTGTGAAAAGAAACTATCATTAAACAGGCGTGGAGGCCTCCATGTTCAACTGTCCCCCTCTTACAATGCTGTTATTGCTAGTATCACCCTGCCCTCTGTGAATAGCAAGTGCACATCAGGGTTCTAACAATCAAATTTTAATTTTATTTTATTTTATATTAATTTATTCATTCATTTAAAAAAAAAAAAAAAAAACATTGACTGAAAAGGGTGCAGAAAGAACAAGGAAATCTCATATCTGCCCCTTATTTAAAAAAAAAAACAAAAAAACTGCAAACAAACAACAACAGGCCTAACAATTATTAGGCTGATGGTCCTTCTTTATCATGTGATCATCAAGTTTTGAATGCCTCCAACAAACTGGTTGATCCACTATGAGAAGGTGCTATTTATAAGACTGAGTTTGTTGCAGCTCCACAGACTGAAAAAGTGTTTTGGATAAAAGACGAAACATTTTCAACAAGAATAATCCATCTAGAGGACCTGACTCAGACTTGTTAGATTTACCTGTTGTAATGCGTAAAATGTTGCCTTGCCTTGAAACACGAGGATAAAGTCAAGAGTATTGTCAAAGGCTGCAATTTACCTCTGTACCTGTGCATGCTTGTCATCTGAACAACACTTGTAAAAGCACATCTTGCAGTAAGGGAAATACATCCCTCACTTTTGACATTAAATAAAGTCAAAATCTCTGTCCCAGAATTGGTTGTGTTTAGGAAGTTCTGAAATGGGCATTTTTTTTTTTTTTTAGAAATTATCTTTACTAACATTACTTATAAACAATGGTGTGAATGCCTTTATAGGCACTTACACCATTGTTTTCCTAGGCATTCACACCATTGTGATCCTGTTTATATTTATTATCCTAGTCGCTTTAGCGATTCCGTACGTTCTATTTTGTATAGGCTTCGCCCTTTAAGACTGTCGCTAGTGGGTTTATCCCTAGGCGTTCAGCGCAGCACTGAAAACTTTAGTCCATGCCCACCCGCTGTGTGGGCCTTACCCCCGGTCCGTATAAATTACGATGAGACCGGGTAATCGGCTCCCATTTTTTCTTCAGCCAGCTAGCTAGCACTGTCAGAAGAACAAAGAAGGAAAAGTTGTCCAGCTTTGACCTGCACCACCTTTGTTAAGGATGCCTGGGTCTCCGCCACGCCAACCTCCTGCTGTCCCAGTGCTCTTCCTCCCTGAGGAGAAGCAGACGAGCAGCCTTGTTCAAGGTAAGCGCCGAGGAGTGCTTTTCCATGGCGGGCTGCTACTCGCTGGATGACACCATCGCCATTTCTAACGTTTTTTCCCCCCGCAGTAATCAAATGATTTCCTCGAATAAGGCGATGTTAGCAGCAGCCCCGCTGAATGTTTTTCCGTGGAGCGCCACTACCCACTGGATGACGCCTCTGCCTTTTCTAACGTGTTTTTTCCTTGTGGTAATCAAATGATTTCCTCAAAAAGGCAATGTTAGCAGCAGCCCCGCTGAATGTTTTTCTGCGGAGGGCCGCTACTCGCTGGATGACACTACCACCTTTTCTAACGTGTTTTTTTTTCTCTCGAGGTGAATCGGATGATTCCCTCGAAAAAGGCGTTGTTGGCAGCAGCTCCGCTGAGTGTTTTTTTTTTTTTCTGTGGTGGGAGGTTATGCGCGGGACGACGCCACCGCCTTCTTTGACGCAGAGTCACGCAGTGAAACGAATGATTCCTCCGAGAAAGGCAATGCGGAGCTGCCCCTTCCCTCCTGGAGAGTATAGTGATGGAAGACGAGTGGCCGAGCGGATGCTCAGCCACCTCGGATCTTCCCACGTCAGCAACCAGACCGCTCAGTGGACAGTTTCTTTTTTTGTGCTGAAACATTTCGCCTTGGATCTGGAAGGCTTCATCAGTCAAGGAAACACACAACAAAACTGATTCTTCCTCCAACAGCTTACTCCAAAGTGGAACAAACCAGTTCTGCTTGTGATTAAATAGTCTCTTTGGTACGCCCCTCCTCCATTGCCGGCCCTCTTCCTTGTTGACAGTCTTGTCAAACTGGTTGAAAACAACAAAGTCCATGCTCAATAATCCAAGTAATAAAATCCAACCATTTTTTTGTCAGGTCATCTGGACAATTTCTTTTTTTTTTGTGCTGAAGCATTTCGCCTTCGTTCCGGAAGGCTTCCGGATCGAAGGCGAAACATTTTAGCACAAAAAAAAGAAACTGTCCAGATGACCTGACTAAAAAAATGTTGGATTCCACCAGAGGGTTTTCATCCTCCATGGCTCTGCATGGAGGGATGACAATGGAGGATATTTGTATGGAGGCTGCCTGGTCATCGCCATGTTCAAGTATTTGTTTTTTATCTACGTGATGTTTCTACTTTCTCCATGACCCATTCTGTTCTCAAGGTTCTGACAGAATGATTATTTGTTTCATGGAGTCTCACTTTTGAGCTCACACCTGCCTGCATGCAGTCGCAGTGTGAGATATTTATTATCAGTCACAAGTTCATGACTGCTGATTTTATTGTTATTAACCGGTTCATCCTGAGGAGCTGTTGGTCTGCTCTGTTTATCGTTACACTGTTATAATTCGTATCCTCCGTTGTTCCTATTCGCAGCAGCAGGTCTGCTATCTCAGCCTTTTTTTCCTCAGAGATCTTCTCCGGTGCGCTCCTGCGCATGGAGCACGCAATTACGCAGCACGTAATTACGCACACAGAAGGCTGAGTGATGAAATGTTTTTTTTGTGCAAGCAGGTGCTTCATGTTATGTCACCATATGTTTGGCTCTAAATTCCACAGATTTGAGCCGAGCTGCACCAAAATCACTATGATCGATCATTATCCACCCCTTGAACAGGAATCCATGATAAGTGGCCAACAGCCTCCACAGCACCCCCTAGCGCCACCTGGCAGTTTTCAAAATACCCTAGATTAACCTTAGTTTATCATAGAAGCACAAAATTTGGTACACTTCCCCAGTTCCCCAAGATGCACAGAAAATGCACTGGCACAAACGTTGTACGATAAACAGGAAAGTGGCCATTTTGGAATCCTGACCCAATTTTCACACCTATTTGGCGGTTTATAGCCTCCACATTTTTCGCTCAGTCGTTTTCAAACTTGGTTATTTTGGTCAAAAGGCATGGTGGACAAAAAGTTATCTAAACGGTGCGTTTCTGAGCATGCTGAAGGGGCGGGGCCAGACCTCAAAGATTGACATCTCACCATGAAAAACAAAACGCTACACTGAAAAACGCAACATTCAGCTTAATCAAAGATTTCAGGCAAACATAACTTAATTTTCATCAATTTGTTGTTTATACTCATATTAAATAAGTTGTGTGAACTGTTGGATAAAAATTGCTTCATTAGTTAAAATATTTAAGTTGAGGCCACACAAAAAAGTTAAGTATTTGTAAGTGGTGGGGATTTCGGATTGTCAAGGGTTAACCCTGAAGCTTCTGCACATACGCAGATCAATGGTCCTCCATTTCCCGCTCAGGTACACCTGCTCAGAACCCTATAAAGAGAGAGTTGCGACACTCTTTGAACTCGCCGATATGCGGTCACGTGGTTCATGCAGCTGTCAATAGTTCCAAACAGCTCATGGCTGTCAGTCAGTTTGAGCGGCTGCTGGCGCAACATAACACAAAAATCGACTTTTCTTACTTTACCTGGCGTCTTTCAGTAATTATTGAGCAGTAACAAACTGATTACTGATTATTTCACAGACTATGCATTTTATCAAAGTATTTGCAGTTTGACTCCCATCTACCTT